ATCGTTGAAATTGAATTGGCCACCGAATAGTTGCATACCGAGCAGTGCGAATATGAGGATGAAGAGGAAGAGTAAGAAGAGAAGGGAAATGATGCTGCGCATCGAACTTAGCAGCGATATCATAAGATTCCTCAGGCTCTTCCAGTATTTGGTGATCTTAAAAATTCTCAGGAGTCTAAGAGCACGTAGGACGGAGAGGCCGAAAGAATCATCGGTTTTCTTCAACTTGAACCAGATCATTTCGAAGATCGAGGCTGAGATGATGATGCAGTCGAAGCGATTAAAGCTCGATTCGAAGTATGTGCGAGGACTGAGCGCGTAGACTTTTATGAACATCTCCATTATAAAGAGACTCAGGAACACAAAGTCTGCGAAGTCTGCAATAAAAAAATTGAGTTAAATTGGGACTCTTTAGTTCTTGAAGAATTTGAGCCTTTTAGATACAATAAGTTTTCGTTACATTGAAATCCTTCAAATCTTCATTCCCAGGTGAATTTTTCTCAGAATTTTTCTCAGAATTTTTCATATAATTTTTCAGAATTTCTATATAATTTTTCAGAATTTCTATATAATTTTTCAGAATTTCTCTATAATTTTATAATTCTCTCACATTTTTTATGCGAATTGAAACATTTCTCAGAAAATTTATATCTTTTCTCAGAAATTTTCATATATGTTAATCATGAAATATTGTATAATAAAATATTTCATGATTAAAGGAAAACTTACAGAGGAAATCAGTGAGCCATTTTGGCTGATTGTAATGCACGATGGCTACGCAGACGGTGTTAAAGAACACAAGAACGATGACGAACCAATAGAACTGTTGCGACTTGACAAAATTACGTATCCAAAATCTGAATCTTTTCTCAGTTCGCCAGAATTGTAGGCACGTGCTCTGCTTCTTCACCTTCGACTTAAAGAAGGCTATCGAGAACCCTACAAAGTTTAAAATATTTCTTCAGCATTAAATTATTAAAACATTTAAAACATTTTACAGACCGATCGATTGTCGAAATTTGACAATCGTATGTATTTTTATTTTGATGTAAATTACATAATTTTCCTTTTACTTTAGAATTTTTTACACTATGTCTACATCTTCACGTTTCGTACTACTTGCTAAACTATTTCTGAAACTATAATATAAATAAAAAATCCAAATTATATGATCGAAAATATAATAGTCTACGTTAAAGTCTTTTGAAGTCTTTGAACATTACGCATAATGACATTCTTGTGAAAGTTTTGAGGATAAACCGTATTACGATATACATATTAGGGATCTCTACAGAAAATATATAAGCACAGCATAGCATAAAATCATCTGAACCAATGGATCCAACCGACCAATGTTCATAAAAGTATTAAGGTATGATTACCAAAAAGTTAATAGTTTATGAGTTTATATCAATATATGAATTTATATTTAATATTTTATATCAATATGTGCCAGAATAAAGTGCAAAATATCTCATAAATTATTGATTTTTTGATATTACTACCTTAATACTTTTATGTGCAGAATAATTAGAAGAATCATATTGTGTACAAAAAATCATACAATTCCATTTAAAAAAGTGGAGGTGATCATATTTTTTTTACGCCTCCACCTAGAAAAAAAGTAACATGACCAAAATATCTCCCTCGAAATCATTCCACTTTTGTTTGAAACATTTTTTTTGTATCAAAAATAAACGAAATATTTAAGATGTTCGATTTAAGTGGACCACCGTGTATATATTTATTATGTAATATATTTTCTGATTCGTTTGTCTGAAAGAAAATTTAGAACGATGCTCGTGCAAATGTTCTCAGATCCAAAAAAATCTAATATTTGTATATCATGACATCAACTAATATTTAAAAGCAATATCTAAAAAACTAAAACAGAATTAGCTCCCGAGTTCTTCGATCTGTCTCTCGCGCAAGATCCGCGTGATATTAAGTGATACATATCAGCCACAATGTCAGCAGCAAGTAGATTCGAATAATTATATAGAATACAATAATTACATCCTCTATCACAAATAATCAGACTTTGATTTTAATACGATACATAATTTAGCTACGCTCATTCGTCTGAATGTGTAAAGTGGCTTTGCCAGTTTATAATACTCTTACATAGAGAGCAATGCATAATTTTGTATGTATTAATATTACATAATTGTTACAAATAAGTACTTCAACTCATAGTAACATTTTTCTTGATAAAAGATTTATAGATTTAATTAATTTTTAATTATTCTCGTTTATTAAAAACTTATGTTAATGTAATTATCATTTACTCAAACATTTTACATGATATATGTGAATAGAAAGAAAATCTTTAGCCCAAATTATGCTGAATAAAATTATCTAGATATACTTATTAAATTAATTAATGTGAATTACTTATTAAACTAATTAATGTGAAAAGATTATATAAAATTCAATTGCATGTTTACATGAAAAAGAGATGATAATTAATACATCCTGCATACGTGAATAGGCAAGTCATTTACCAAGCAATTATAGCCCATTGTCTAATCATGTATTTGTGATCGTGTACGCATGATGTTATTTGTACGTGTGTGTATGACCAACAAAAAATTCTTTAAAAAAAAAATAAAACATTACGTAAGATTATAAATACAGCCTTATTTTTACGTAGTTCTTTGCAAAAAGTCATGGCATTCACGGTTGTAATTGTTTGAGCTTTTTCCTAGGCACTGAAACAAGAGGAGCTGATAGCGTGTGTTTAGAATATTCATCGGCAAAAATTAGAGGAAGGTATTTTTCGGCGCCATTCTTTTCTTTTCCTTTCGATATGAAAGATAAATCAAGCATGAATTTATAATGTTTTTGCACGCATCGGAAGGTACACCGCAACAAATAAATAGGCAGAACACACATCTATGCACACTTTTATTGTATATATTTCCATATAATATCACATGCCACACTCAACCGCCATTGCAATACAGGGGGAATTCTGCCGCTTCTTTTACGCTCACCATGTCATCTCACAGTCGTTCGGGAAGAAAAGAAGATACTCTAAGCGCTTTCTACATCTAGAGGCAACAACTAACACTACAATTTCCTCCCCACTTAATTTGAAAAAACAAAAAAAAAGAAGAAAATACAAATCCACTTATAAGTTTAAGATTTTCCGAGATTTCGGTACTCGGCTTGAGCGTCACCGATCTTCAGTGCGGGCTCTTAGTGTTCCCGGAAATTTCGCCTATGCTATTTTGTCTGGGCGGTGCGCGCTTATATCACAGTTCGCAGTGATCTTGGAGTCGCTAACATTACAACTAATCGATAGTGCCCCCTCCTTATCATAGTTATCACTTACGTTAGGGAAATAGCACTTACAGAAGTGCTTCTATCCGGAGAAATACCGTCATCCGGTAACTTCGAGGCATCAATCATACAAGATTCGGGTAAACGCAAATTACACGCCTGCAGTTGATCAATGTGATGTTTCCAGATACATCATTCGTTCTAACATTATAAGTAACCGGACTAGTTTGCTCAACAATTTCCGCCTGTCTCCACGACTTTGTCCTATAATCTTTAGCCATCACGGAATCGTCTCTAAAAGTAACAGTACGATTGCTCTTAAAAAAACGTTATTGATTACTTCGCTTTTGCTCAATTCTATTTCTAATATCAGGCTTAATAACATCCAATCGCGTTCTCAAACGTCTGTTTAAGTGCAATTCGGCTAGTGTCTTTTCCATACAGTGCGGTGTCATGCGATAATAGAATAAATATTTACATAAAGCATCCTGTCTCGCATTATCTTTAAATAATACTTTAAATTTCTTTTTAAAAGTGCGCACGGCGTTCTCAGCCGCCTCATTTGACGCGGATATAAGATACGGTTTTCGTATGCTTAATAGCATATTGCAGTACAAACTCTCGAAACTACTCGCTCGAAAATGCCGGACCATTATCAGAAACAATCTGATGTGGCAGCCATATGCTTATATACTCTTTTAAAGTTCTCTAATTATAGATTCCGAAGAAATATCGCACGTTTCCTTAATATCAATTTATTTCGATTACGTCAATTATCACGAGATACATATTAATCAGTCCGCAAAAATCTAGATACGATGATTTGGGCCCTGAAACCACTTCCATGAATGAACGAAGCCTTTAGAGGGAGAGGGGGGAGGGAAGTCGTTCGCGCTCTTTAAATACTCTTTATATGACATTGTTATTTCCTCGATGTCTCTATCTAAATCAGGCCATCAAAAATAAGATCGAGCCAACACCTTCATTTTAACTATCCCGAGATGAGCCTCGTGAAGCTCTTCTAATAAATCAGCTCTCAAAGACTGTGGAATAATAACGCGATATCCTTACATTACGCAATCTTCTTTCAGTGTTAATTCTAAACGATGACTTTGGAATGGTTTAAGGCAGTCATCTATTTTATTAGGCTAACCCCGCATTACAAAATCTCGAACTCTCCTCAAAATTGCATCTTTACTAGTTTCTATGCGAACGACCTTGTTATCCACATTTTGCACTCTTACGATTACTTTTAGATATGTTCCTTCGTCTCTTTTAACTCAATTGTGAATATCCACCTCGCCAATTCTCGATAAACTGTCAGCAGGTTCATTGTCTTGTCCCTTAATGTGCTTAATTATAAAATCATATCCTGCTAAATAAGTCCACCTTTGCATTCGACTAGCCGCCATCTGTGGAATTCCTTTCTTTGGTCCAAAAATGTACGTAAGAGATTTATGATTGGTTTTTAATATGAAATTACGACCATATACATACTGATGAAATGTTTTCTAAATACCAGAGTAATGCTTTCTCGTCGTTGAGAATAATTATTGAAAATAATTTCTCTGCGCGACTGATAAAATTTTTGAGGCGAAAGCTATTGGCCTATCCGACCCATCTGGAAGAATATGACAAAACTGCCCCTAATCCTATAGATGCGTCACACGTAATTTTAAGTGGACTCTCAGTATCATACGAGGGCAAGTCAATAAGTTTTTAGAAAAACATAGTAAAACACATTTTTTTTGATCGATTCATTTTTTTATTTCTCAACATAATCTTTTTTCAGCTCGAACTAACATCTACACTTGATCTAACAATTCTCCAACTTTTTCAAGCCGTCCGAATAATATGATTTGTCCAACTTTTCAAAATAAGCCTTTGTTTCAGTGATGAGCTGCTCTTTGGTGGTGAATCTCTTTCCTCCGAACCATTTCTTTAGGTTTGGAAACAGAAAATAGAGGACTAAATCTGGCGAATATGCTGGATGAGGAAGCAATTTGTAGCGGAATTTATTGAATTTGGCCATCGGTGCCGAGCATGTGTGAACCCGTGCATTGTCTTGATGGAAGAGCAGTTCCTTCTTCGTCAAATGGGGACGTTTTTTCTTTAAAATGTTGTTGAAACGGTCCAATAAGGTTGCATAGTAATCGCATTGATCGTTTGCTTCGACGGAAGATTGATATGAATTATATCGCGTGCATTCCAAAAAACTGTGGCCATCACCTTTCCGGCCGATTTTCGCCTTCTTCGGACCTGATTCACCCGGTGAAGTCCATTGTTTTGACTGTTCCTTCGTTCCCGTTTCTCGGGTGTGAAGTAATGGATGTTTCGTCCACGTAATGAATCGACGCAGAAATTCATCTGGATTATGTTGAAATATCTCCAAACATTGTTTTGAAATCGTCATACAGTCGCGCTTATGGTCCACAGTGAGCAAACGCGGCACCCATCTTGCCGATAGCTTTTTTACCCAATTGTTCGTGCAAAATTGAAATCACTGTGCGATGTGATATGCCTATGGCCTCAACAAGCTCGCGCACTTTCATTCATCGATCAGTCAAAACAATATCGTGAACTTTATCGACGATTTCTGGCGTAGCAATCTCAATTGGATGTCCCAAACGAAGTGCATCACATGTGGATGTATGACCAATTTAATTTAAATTCATTCACTCAATTATATACAGTCGCAAACGCTGTGCTATGAACATTATCCAACTCGACTTTGATTTCTTTCGGCGTTAAACCTTTCATATAAATGTTTGATCACTGCACGAAACTCGTTTTTTTTGCAAAAAATACAAAGTTTGTTCGCTTTAATCATCTACAGAAATGAAACCACGCGATGAATTCAAAATTTTACAGTAATCAGCTGAGAGATGCTACTTGTCAAAAAGTAATGTGACATGAGTGCTTTCTGACAGATTTTCTAAGAATTTATTGACTTACCTCGTAGTTAATTTAAATCTCCTGATGCTAGGCGCTCTTTAGCCTTTTTAAAAGCTAAGTCTTGCTCTTTTGCCATTTTTTTTCTTATTTTTCCTAAGAAGCTCGTACAGCGGGCCTATCAGGTCTGAATAATTTTTAATGAATTTAGAATGATAATTAATCATCACTCTAAAAACGACTTCAGCTCCGTTAAGTTCTCGGGTTTTTTAATAAAATCGCATCAACTTTCCTACTCGAAGCTTGAATGCCCTGGGCGCTTAACTCAAATCCTAAAAATTCAATGCTGCTTTGCGAAAATGCACATTTGTCTCTACTTAAGATTAAGCCACAATTTTGTAATCTTTGTAATACTCTCATTACATTTTTATCATGCTCTTCTCGCGTAACTCCTGTAATAACTAAATCATCAAAGAATATTGTCACATTGTCCAAATTTTGTAAAATCTTTTCCATTTCGCGTTGGAACAAACCAGGCGCTGATGCTATCTCGTAATTCAAACAATCACTTCTAAACAAAGTTATGAGTTGTTATCGTGACTAACGATTTTGATTTCTCATCTAACTCTATCTGCTGATAGGCCTGAGTTAAATCTAATTTTGTAAATATCCTACCATCTAATTTCGTGAGGGTCTGACACCCTCGGAATTAGATGCTTATCTACAAGTACGTGTGAATTAAGTGTCACCTTATAATCTCTGCATAAGCGTATTTGACTGTTCGATTTCGGAACTGATACAATGGGCGTTGCCCACTCACTATTTTCAACTATTTCCAGAACTTCTTCTCCAGCTAAATGATTAATCTCTTTTTCGATTTTCTCTCGTAACGCGAAAGACACCGACCTTGGTTTGCAAAACAGATTGGCTCAATCTTTCAGCAACTTAAATTTCTTTTTTGTATAATGTCTTAGTTTCCTAAAAAAAAATGATTCGAATCTTTTACAAATATCATTTGACTCTTCACTCACTGCTTTAACTGATAGCTTCTCTACTAATTTATTGAATTGGACAATATCTACAGTTTGAAACCAATATTGACCTATAATCGGTGCACTTTTACCTGGTAAAACAAATAATTCAAGTTTCCGGTTTTTATTTTGAAATGTTACTTTAACCTTTAAAATACCGAGAGGAACTATCGTCCCCCGTGTATTTTAAAACTACGCTTTTCTTCATTACCGCATTCTCAAACGGTTTAAACTAATCGAAATCTCTCTTTGATATTGCAGAAATCGGCGATCCCGTATCAATTTCGAACGACAGCTCTATTTCCTACTTTCAGGTTTACTTTCAATGGTTCTATATTACCGAGTATTTTACTATTATCTATATCGTCGTTGTAAAACAAGTTATTTAGGCTTTCATTACTTTCTAGATTATGATTCGGATTCTTAACTTCATTTTTAGTCTTTTTGCTCGTTTTTGTTTCCAGTTATTATCTTTCTCGTCTTTATTTAACACTTTAACTTTACAAACAATTTTTAAATGACCCTTTTTTCTGCACGCGTTACATTCATAACTTTTAAAACGACATTCTTTCGATATGTGACCTTTTTACTACAACAATAATAGGTTACCACTTTTTTTCTCTTATCATAAAATTGAGTGCGCTGCCTTTGCTGTTCGTCGCGTCATGTTCACAGCTTCACATTCTGTCATCTCCATGCTTGTGTTAATCTCCACTGCCTTACATATGTCAACTGTTATTCTCCCAGCAATCTCTTCTTGATCCTCTCACTGACCAGATCCCATACGAACTGATCTCGAATGTGGCTCTCCAGCTGTTTTCCAAAGTGGCAATGTGCTGATAATTTTTTTAGCTTGGCTAGGTACATCTTAATGTCCTCTCCCGCTATCTGCTTGCATTTTTTGAATTTATAACACTGCGATATTACACTTGGCTGCGGTTGCAGGTTGTGATTTTGCATAATTTCTGCAAGACGCTCCATTGTGAGATTTGCCTGTATAAGTTGCAGAGAAGTTCCTAATCTTCATCTCCCACGTAATAAAAAGGGATACTTGCTTTTCTTTCGGCGCATCGTTACCTAAAAAGTAGTGTGTTAATCTTTCCATTTCATCCAATCTTCTTTCAACAAAAACTCGGACATATTGCCTACAATCCCTTTTATGAGACAATGGTGCCGGAACCTTGTGATTCTTCTCTTCTGAATGCTGTTTCTAATTCCGCCCTCACTTTTGCTAGCTGTTGACTCTCCATTGCCAACAGGCTTCTCTAATACTCTTGTTGCTTAGCTCTTTCCGCTAAGATTCTTTCTCGTTTCTCCAGTTCTTTCTGAAGCTTTAATAAATCCATTGTCAACATTTTGTTACTTTATGTCCCTATGACTGCAAACGATTTTTCGTAAATTTCATTCCGCACGTTGAATTCCTTCACTACTACGTTCTATTTTTACAACGATCATCACTTATCCTCGTCGCCAATGTAATGTTTTTGCACGCATTGGAAGGTACACTGCAATAAATAAACAGATAGAACACACGTCTACGCTTTTATATATTTCCATATCTCACATGCCACACTCAATCGCCATTACAATACAAGGGGGAATTTTGCCGCTTCTTTTACGCTCACTACGCCATCTCTTAACCGTTCGAAGAAAAGAAAATACTTTAGCAACGTTTTTCTACATCTAATAGTGGCAGCGACTAACGCTATAGAACTTATAAAATATTAACAAATACATCAATAAATGTGAAAATAACGTGCCAACACATAAATGGAGAGAAATTTTAGAACGAAAAAAAGCGGGCCAAATCAACAATTTCCTTTGCACTAATATGAACTTTAAAATCAGAAAGATTGTACTCCTCAAGCACAAAATTTATTCCTCAACTAATTTGATGATTCGCAAAAGTGTGTCCATAATATAACAATTTATATTTTCGTAAATTTTTTTCTTTCTAAATTTGATTGAGTTTGTTTTTTAATTACTTCACTTTTCCAAAGGAAATCATTGATTAATAATGTAGGTTTTGATTATTAAAAAATCACTATCATTATCATAAATCCTTACTATTTGAACTCAAGTTCATTCAAATATTCTGAAAAAGAATTATCAACTCGAAATATAAAAGAAGTAAACAAGAAGAAAAGAATACTCGACACAACTGGAGCATCAAGTTGACTAAATACAACTCACCATGGTCTTCGCCGTTTTCATCTTCTTCCTCCTCTGTATCGGTGCTCTTGCTCTTGCCGAGATTTTTCAACTTTCTTTTTTTTTCCTCCGCTTTTCTTCTTCCTGCGCAAAATAAAAAGATTAAACTATAAATCTTCATAAATTATGGCCTAAATAATCTTTTATTGAAAATATGTAAATATTATGTTTGATTTCGAGAAGTATTGATAATTGAATTATGAAAGAATCACAAACTGCAGAATAATTATATGTTGCGATATTTTTTATTTTGTGCGTAATAAATTGTATTATTAAATTATTTCTCTAAAATTTACACACAATGTTACATATGCAAGAATGACTTATTACTTGTAAAAAGCAAAAAATTACATTGATTGTTAATCCGCTATTAATAAAATTAATTAAAATTACAAAATATAAGAATGTCTTGTTTAAAAATACAGCATTCAATGCATTGCTAACAAAAAAAAAAATTGAAAAATTGAATTTGATTGTGTCGAAAGAAATGCGAGTGCACTCTGAGTACATATTTATATTTTATATAAATGTGTATACGAGCATGTTTCGGAATACAGCTCGCTTCGCAAATCTTTTCAACTTTACGGAAATAAATATTCATAATATCAAAATATATTGCATTATATGGACCTTTTAATATGTACTTTTTCTCTTCTTCCGTGGTCCTCTCTTCGGCGAGTATCATCTCCTCTAAAAAGTAAACATTACGTATTAGCAGTAATTGATATTATGTGCATTATATTTTTATATACGGAAAGCAACGCGTGGAGAGTCTAGCATATGCAATGAGCTCTAATTTCTGCATACATTGTTTACAAAATAAGTGAATTAAAGTAGATCGATAAAAGAATATATAATATATAACCTTATAATATTTAACTTTATTGTCAATGCATAATTTTTCAACTTTCATTATCACAAAGTTCTCATTAAAAGTGAAAATGAGATAAAATTTGTACAAAACTATTCTTTGTCATTTGAAGTCATTTTGAAGGATAGTAAATAGTTTTTGAGACGTTGTAATGAAATTCAAACAATATAAAAATTTTTATTATTTAAAATTCGATATTAGCACTCGGGTAACTGTCATTGCATTGACAGAAGAGTAAGAAATTTATTTAATTTTCAGAATTACAGAGAGATTATAAAATATAAAATACATTTATTACAAATAATAATTATTTTCTTCTGTCAGTTTTCAGTATATTATATTAT